GACCCATCTGACTGTGTAGGCATCGACACCACAATCTCCTAATTTTTTAATGAAAATGGGACGAGAGACTGTGTCGAAGGTCCTCCTAAAGTCCAAAAAGACTACGTCTACTGCGACACCTGCGTCCAAGGATTTTGTGATCTGGTCATAAAAGGCTACCAGGTTGGTCTGACAGGACCTGCTTCCAATGAAACCATGTTGGTTGCCCCTAAGCATACACTCCCCTGCTTGCCCCTTGCAGATGTGCACCTGGATGATTTTCTCAAAGAGCTTCCCCAGGACCAAGGTAAGGCTAACAGGCCTATAATTTCCTGGGTCCTCCTTCCTCCCTTTTTTGAAAATGGGAACCACATTGGCCCTTTTTCAGTCCTCTGGCACCTTGCCAGAGCACCATGAGTGCTCGTAAAGATGTGCCAGCGGTCCCACAATGACCTCTGCTAATTCCCTCAGCACCCTGGGGTGGAGATCAGGACCTGCTGATCTGAACATGTCCAGTCCCACCAGAAGTTCTCTAACTAGGTCTTCTCTGACCCTGGGCCTGACTGTGCTTCCCCTGGGATCATCAGGGATCCCGGTGAGGGGGGATGACCTGGTCCCTGCTCAGAGAAGTGGAGGCAAAGAAATTGTTAAATAGGTTAGCTTTGTCATCTGGTGAGACCACCAGATTTCCAAGTGTGTCCTGCAGAGGCCCCACGTTACCCAGAACCTTCTTTTTACCCCCTATATATTTACAAAAAGGATTTCTTGTTATCCTTGATCCAAGTTGCTAGTCCAAGTTCCATTTCTGCCTTGGCCTTCCTAACAGTCTTCCTATAATCCTGAGCAACAGAGGTATAGTCCTCCCTGGTGATGGCCCCTCCCTTCCATTGGATGTATGCCTCCTTCTTAGCTTTGAGGCATTTCTGGACGCTTTTGGTGAGCCATGGGGGTTTTTGAGCACTCTTGCCTGCTTTGATCCGTGTTGGGATTGCCACTGTTTGGGCTTGGAGGATAGTCTCCTTCAGGAACGACCATTCTTCTTGGACTCCCAACTCCCCACCCCTCTGGGACCTCAGTGCCTCCCCAACTAGTCTCCTTAGTTCAATGAAATCCACCCTCCTGAAGTCCAGGGCTGCTGTCTTGCTGCAGGCCTTTGCCATCCTGTGCTGGATGGCGAATTCCAATAGGCGATGATAGTTATCGCCCAGGGGATCGAGCACCCGCAGTCCCCTCACCAGGTCTTTGCTTGTGGCCAGGACCAGGTCTAACAAGGCATTTCCCCTGCTGGGACTGTGCACCTCCCAGGTTAGATGGAGATCCTGTAACACGGCTAGGAAGCTACGCGAGCGGTCAGACCTGGCTGACTGCTCTTCCCAGCAAATGTCCAGATAGTTTAGGTCACCCATGATAACCACATCCTTTGACTTCACTACCTCCACAAGCTGACCTGAGAATTCCCGTTCTAGCTCTTCTCCATGGAGAAGTTTCTGTTTCCTGCAAGCCTGCCTTCTGAATCGTCAAATTTTTTTCCCAGTGGATTTGGACACTTCCAATTCCATTTGGACCTTTTCAATGGGTCTCCCGATTCAGTTTGGATTCAGCCACCAAATTGGGCCAGATCTCCTCCGAATTGAAATCGGCTACCAAAGCTTTGCACAGTCCTATCCATAACAAACCAAGGCTACTTCTACATGTGACAGCTAGACTTGGCAGGATTTGATTTTTATCAGTAAACTTCAATTTCACCTCACACCCACAGACTAATATAAAAATATTTCCATCATTAGTAATCAAAATTTATAGAAAGAGGATGTAAAAAAAAATGATGGCTGATGGAGTGTGACAACAGGGGAGCAGTCCTACAGAACCATGCTAACTATAGTTTGGACTGCAACTCCCAGAAACCCCAGGGGACAGGGAACAAAGAAGAGGAAGTAACAAAGTGGATGAGAGAGCTATGCACAAGCAGAACTGGGATTGATAGAACTCTGTCGCTCAAGTGGCAGCAGTCCTATTTGCGGCTGGTGGTTAAAATGCACTAAATAATAGTACACTGTCATAAATCAATTATCTGCCTGCAACATCCCTAATTTTGTGCAATCCTGAAAATTTAAAATCAATAAATATTTATTTGTCAGCATTTATTTAAATTTTGATATCATCTGTCAAATTAAAAAAAAATAGAATTCTGCCATGTCTAAACACAACACACCACACCTTTCATTCTTCCCTGCCCCCTGCCAAAACAAACAAAAAAATGATCTTGCTAACAGTCCATGATTTCTGCTATTATAACCCTGTGGCCTTGTATGCTGCAATAGATTAGTTTAAAGGCACTGACAGACCACTTTAGAAGTTTATGTTTAAATCTCTGTACATATGCAAAGGGACCAATGAAATGACATTTAACTGAAGGACTCGTAACCATCTAGAAGCAAGGGCTTTGTAGTTACTGAGAAATTATTGTTTTTCCATGACCTGGAAAGTAAGCTTCCATTCTGGGTACAGAACCACAAGTATTTATAATTTGAGAGCTGAGATAATTAGACCTCAGGTACAGAGAATAAAAACAGGAGTTTTATACTATCTAGGTGGGCTCAATGGACACTTCTGATCAAGGAACACACATTGGTGTCTGCTGGAGTCACAGTCCAGTTTCCAATACCTGCGATAGCTCTGCTGATCATCTGCATCCAGTAGTACAGACCCTGCATCCCAAGCCCCTAATACATGAAATAGTGCCATATTTCTGAAAGTCTGACCTCAGAAGCTAGCTATTTTCCTCCTCATTGTTATATAGAAGAAAACCGGCCTAACTCCAGAGTTTTTAGTACAGTTGACACAAAATACTATTCTTTTATTTAAATTATACTAAATTTATATAGTAGTTTATGCTGTATCAAATTCAAATTTCATTTTAAGCTGGTTTATTTGTAAAAAGGAAAATTTCATTACAATTTAATTAAAAATAGAAAAATCTGATTTAAATAAAAAAATCTGATTTTTAAAATCAGTTTTTACCCACCCTCAAAAGTTGCCAGATCTTCAGTGTCATGAATGAAGAGCTGCCTCACATGGGCAGTATACCCATTAACACAGGTGTGGATACTAAATTTATTAACAAAGCCCAAGCAACTTTTGTATTAGAAGCTTTGTCAGTTGCAACTAAAATAACCTTCTATAGAGCTAAATTATTGATGATACGTTTAAACTGGTCAGCCATACATTGGGCTGTGTGGTGATGCTCAGTTGTCCACTGAAATGTGTAAAAGATTTTGGAGTTGTGAACAAAGTTGATGACACCATCATTGTAAATATTTATACCATCAGATACTAGGGACACAAAAAGAGGAGCTTGTGCAATAAGAACATCAACACTTTTTTACATCTTCCACTTCAGCATTCAGAAGACTTCCCTCAAGTGATTCCCTACTTGGAACTTTGTAAATTGAATGTAGTTTTTGGGGAAAAAAATTGAGCACATAAGCTTTTTCAACTATATGACATGGTATATTGCTGGCATAAATGCCTCTAGCAAAAAATATGATCAAGATCATTTTTCCAGTTGCCCAAAAAACTTTCAGTACTAATTTGATAAACTTCTGAAAGCTTTCACAAGAGTAGGTTTTCTTGATACTGAAACACACGGGGTGCGTCCACATATGTAATTAATGTGAGGCAATAAACTCCAGCATTTATTGCTTCAGTTTATTGCTCCCAGGCATGCCATTTGAACGTGAGCCTGGGAGCAATAAACTTCGGAGTTTATTGCCATCTGAACATGTACCCAGGACCACAGCACTATGAGCTGGGTTAGAATAGCCCTGACTGGCAGGGACCCCCAAAAATCAGCCTGCCAGCCTGGGGCTGCTCCCTCAGTAAAACATGCTGCAGAGGGGCTGATTGGAGCATGAGGGTGCTTCAGTGCAGGGCTAGCCATGCAGTAAACATTTCGTGTAGGTTATGTCCACAAGGCACGAAAATTGCTATTGGATCATGTAGTAATGGAACTAACTTCATTTTACCTCGCGTCTACATTAAAAAACAAACAAACCCTGCTTTGTGAAGGTGAATTAGAAGGAGAATGTGAAGGCAAAAGCAGATGATGCAAACCAGTTGCCCTTTCTTGCTGTTCAGCTACAATAGTCTATCTTTGCCAGCCTGCTCTTAAACAGAGTGCACATGTGTGTTCTGATTCCTACCAGACTGATGGGCAAGGAACTCTCACTCCTGGTCTTGCTAACAGAAAACACTACGATGCAATAAAAAGGTAGGCTACCACCTACACAAGAGCATTCTTGGATTCATGGAATATTTGCCAATATTTTTTTACGGTAATCACATAATAGCCTGTCCCTTAACAAGCTAGCCAACACTAGTCCTTGACAAGTTTATCATCAAGTAATCATAGAAAAAAGGCTATTCATGTTGTTATTCATTCTATATACCACAGGAATTACAAAAGATCAATAGGTGAAAGTAGTCACGGACTGAAAGTATAGAATTACTGAAGGCTATAAAATGAAAATAAGCTTCAATCACTCATTTGGATAGATTTAAAGTAGTGACTTCAAGTTAAAACAATCTACCTCCTGTTACTAATACGTTAAAACATTCACTTTACCCCGAAACTATTTTCTTGGGAAAATAAAACAGTAATAAAATCATCTTACAAGCAGAAATGTTAAAATGTTTCAGATTTCTAGGGAGCAAATGTTGAAGTTAGACAAGTGAGAGAAAAATGGAAAAACAGGAGAGTTCAGTATTGAATGCAACAGGAGTGAGAGTAATGGTAGAAAGGAAAGAAAGGAGAAGCAGCATGTCATCTGCTCCACCTAAAATAAGAAAGGAGAAAGGGAAACAGGGAAAAAAAGATAGAAGAGAAAATGCTATGGATTCATACTTGAAGTAATAAAAATAACTTGGGACTGAAAGATTATCCCCGAATCACTTGATTTTTCCAAACTTTTACTGCATAATTTAACGTGAAAGGCAAGACTCTATTACCTTTCTTTCGAAAGAGTGCATTTAGATAATTTTCTGCTTGGCATTCAATCTTATCAGTGTTGGACTGGCCCTGAGATGTCAGTTCCTCTGTAGGTGTTGACTGTGAAGAACCAATAATTGGTGTACGATCCTAGAAAATGCAAGACAGCAACAGATCTCAATAAAGGTTGTAGCCTGTTTTAAGAAATCATGAGATTAATAAATAGCAAGAATGTAACGGACGCAATAAAAGACTTGTGTTGTAAAGCTAAGCTAGAATTCCTTCTTTCCCCTACTCAAAACATTTGATTTCTAGTATAAAAATCAACAATGTGAACCCACTGGGGAAATCTCCAATTCTACTTTCAGTCCTAACATTTGAAAAAAAACTCAGAGTAAACAATTTACATGCTTCATATTACATTCATACTTACACTGACTGTTTCTTTGTGTAAGTTACAAAAGGAACATTTCTCATCCATAGACCAGTCAGTCAACTCTTCTGGCTCACAGTCTTAAAAAAATAAAATAAAAGCATTTAAAAAGACAAGCAAAAATGGATGTTAAGAGAGAAGAATAACCTGTGCTTCCTACAACTGACTCTATTAAAAGGCTGGATTTTTAATCTAACCTGTATTTAATTAGATTAGTTCAATGTATATCATTCAACATTCCAGATCTGAAGATTTTCAGTTCTACTCTCAAGTCAGGTCACTTGGCTCACCCAAAAGCTGAGTGTCAAAGTTGGGAGTTTGGAGATTTCATTCTTTAATGTAATGTGATCATCCAATTAAAAACCCTATACTAGTTCTCAAACATAGCAAATGAGCTTGGAGGCCTGGTTAACACTAAGGCAATATCTTTGCCATTTGCCCACAGGCAGTTGCTGTACTACCAGTGTTTTATCTAACTCCACTTAACATGCCTAACTACCTCTCTCTCTAGATATAAAACCACATTGTACACCATAATCACAAAAGTAATGTCACAGTCTGGCCACAGTCACAAAAGCAGTACCTGTGAAAATATATACATTTCCTGTAAAAATAAATTACCTTTGAAAAACTGGCAGAATAACAAACCTGAAGCTGAATTCTTCTATCCACAAATCAAGTAAAAATTAAGTCATGCAAATTTCCCAGTACTGCACTACCTACATGTCTCAATCCTAACAGAATCGTATCTAGAAATTGGATGGCAAACTTTATATCTATGACAATTCATTTATTGCCCTGCTTGATGCCATTGCATACAGGGACACCTTACATAGTCAACTGTAGTTGTGATTTTCTCTGGAGAGAAATGCACAAATATCTAATTAATTTCACATAGGCTACTTAACTCCTAGCTAGTAGATCAGAGCAAATTTCAGTCACTACTTTGGCAGGATTTATACCACCACCAAAGAAGTGATAGGATCAATGCCCTATTACTGATCTCTTAAAACAATTTTCCTCCCAAAAGAATTTATTTCAAAAGCTAGAATAAGTACAATGATGGAAAATAATAGTGCTAAAAAGCTGAAAAATGAACTACATGTATAAAACTAGCACTTTTGCTGGAGGTTCACCGTTGGCAATATTAAAAAACTGAACTGGGAAAAAATTAAGTGAACCGATTGGCTGATAAGAATTCTGAACCTTAAATAATATATAAAGAGTCATTTAACAATGAACACACTACTCTGCTGTAGGAATTGTGTTATATTAATACCTGGTTAAATTCAGAACAGGATGTTACATATAGCTATACCAGGTCCAGTATACACCTATACCAGCCCCTTGCCAAGATCAAGAACACTGCTGAAAAATAAACCCTGCCCATTTATGTCCACACTATTCAAACACATAACCTGGAATTAAGGAGGGGCATATTTATTTCGCAGTGCTCTTTGGGTCACCTGAGTAACAGTATCCATGAATATTATTTTATTGTTTTACTTAGACCTACATAGTCTCTGCTGTGCCCAAGAGTGGCTACCAGCTTCCATTTTTAAAGCATCTTTACTATAACAG